TCGCTTTGCTTTACCCTACCTCCTTAATCTTTTACCAATGCATTTCATGTAACCCACCTATGTTCCTCCTTTGATTGCAATGTATAAATACAAATGTGACCTGCTATTCTCCAAAGCATTATCTCAATTCCTTAAGGTTCTGTTTTCCTGGCATATGTTGACAATTTGGCTCAAATAAACTCACAAAAATTCTTTACAGGTTTAAATGTGTGTTTTTGTTGTTGTTGTTGTTGTTGTTGTTTTTTACATTAACACTGGTGTTCCCTTGTACATATGTACCTTTTGAAAAAGTCATTCTAGTCTGGCTGGCATGGTGCAGTGGTTGGGTGTTGACCTATGAACCGGGAGGTCATGGTTCAATTCCTTGTCGGGCACATGACCAGGATGAAGACTCTATCTTCAGGAGGTAGCTGATCAAGGCTTCCCTCTCATCATTGATGTTTCTCTCTTCCTCTCCCTCTCCCTTCCAAAAATTAAAAAAAAAAAAAAAAAAGGCAAAATAAAATAAAAAGGCATTATACTAACCCTGGTTCAGTGGCTCAGATCATTGGGTCAATAGGAACCTCCATCTGAACTATTTTGAAAAAGAAGTCTCTGGGGTCTTAAAATATGTTCACCAGGGATGTGGTTATTTCTCAGATAAAATCTGCATTCTCATAACACCCCAGGGATTCACTAGTTTTACAACCAGACAGCGCAGGTCCCATAAATCACAGGCCACAGGCCAAATTTGGCTCACCCCCTGCAGCTGTAAGGAAAGTTTCATCGAAGCCCAGCCACACCATTGTTCTCCTATTATCTGTGGCTGTTTTCATAACACAAGGGAGGAGCTGTAGAGATTATACAAGGATGGCCAGGTCTGAAAATCAGAAACCTTTACTATCTGGCCCTTTATGAGACACATTTGCCTACTCCTGACGTCTCACAGGGCAATAAGAATGTCCTGATTTGCTCTTGAGATGAGATAACATATAAGGAAGAACCCCACAGAGAGCGTAGGTTCCTAGAAAAGGGACTAGGATAACTCAACAAACGTATCGATCTAAACCTTATTATATTCTGTGGGTTTTTTGTTGTGGTGGTTTGCTTGTTTCTCCTCTGTCTTTTCTATCCTCTCTCTAGCTTAGGCCATTCTGTAAAAAACAAAATATGAGCTTGGCTTCCTCTAAGGTGGATTAGACTAATCTGCCACCCCACGCACCTGCCTGTTCAAGGCAATTTCTATGGCTCCATTCATGCAGAGCATCGGAGTTTCTGCCCCATTGTGTGCGAACTTGCGCTCTGGATTCTACGGTTCTACGTGGAGGAAACCCAAAGATCCCGCACGGATTTGTGTTCAACATTTACATTTTTATTTAGAAATAATAAAATAAGACATAATATATAAAAATATGTACAATCCATGGTTTGTGCAGTACAATAGGAAGACTTTAGGTACAAAAGGACGGCAAATGGGAAAATAGGAACTATCGCGATTGTCCGAGGCCCAGCTTGTGCAACTCGCCGGAGACCAGAGCTGAACCCAGCATCACCAGAAAAGAGATTCTAGTGGGGAGTGAGGAGATGGGAATGAATGCAACACTTTTTTTCCCACCTTACCATGAGTAGACACAGAGTGAAAAAGAACCCACTCTACCAGTCAGGACAAGCTTCTTGTCTTTACCAAGTGGTTTTTACAACGTGAACTGACATTTGTTATTTGCAAGGGTAACATAATTTGGGGCAGGGGAGGGAGAGTTGGGTTCAGCTCATGAAAGAAACATCAAGGTTTGGGATGGGAGTTTATAGGGAAGAAAGGAAGCAAAGGGAGAAATAACGCATTGAGAGAATTTTTTTTTTTTAAGGTGAAAACTTTTTCCAGGAATTTGGAAAGGACTACAGTGCTATCGTGTGACATTTTTGAAATGTCTGATTCAAGTATACGCGTAGAGGGGTAGAAAACTATGCCTTTCTCCATAATCAAAATAGATTCACTTTGTCTACATTTTCTTTAAAAATAGGATAACTGAGAATCTATGCCTCCTTCCAAAAAGATGATGCCCAGCCAGACGTGGGCAATGACTTCTTTAAAAGGGAGTGAGTCCTACGTGAATTCAGCGAGGGTTCGCTTGCAATAAAGAAGCAACATGTGTCCAAGAATGGACCCCAGACGTTCACGGGGTCTCTTCCATCTGCATCCTGGCGGCATGTGTGCATGAAGGAAGGAGACCCAGGAGGGACAAATGTTTTGAAGGTAAAATGCAGCAAAACAATGTAGTGCATTACCTGTGTCTTGGCTCTTGACCACAAATAAAATAAAATAAAATAAAAGCCACTTAAAGCTTGTAACTGTTACAATACTAATAACTAGGAAAAAAGCTTTCAAATGAACAGCCCATGCTGAAATAAATAACCGAAGAACATAGCAATACAAACCTTATAAGGCTGGGAAGATATTTGCTAAAACCATGCTAACCGGTAGCATATAGGTACTAGCTCTCAGAAATTGCTGCACTGAAATCAGACTTTCCATGGCAATTTTTTTTCCCCTTTACAGACTTCTATTTACATTTGGCTTTAAATATGAAAATATCTGATAAATTTTATAAAATGTACACTTTTAAAAACATAGCTTCTGCAAAATTTTCTTGAAAAACAAAAAACAAACGACAAACAAACCTGTGTGCACCAGAAATGTTAGATTTTTTTTTCTTCTCTATTTCAGAAAGAAGTTGAAAGATGTCCCTCCCTCGTTCCTACCCCCTTGCCCACCCTCTTTGCAAATACCTCAATTCTTTCTTTAAGTGGCAGCTGTGTGTTGGGGAGGAAGCTTCTCGGAGGTCAGCCCCACCCTCCACTGTATCTTCATTGAAAGTACATGTGACTGAATACTCTTTGGTTTGATTATTTTCCTTTGCAAAAATATCAAAATAGCAGCAGCAGAAGCCCTCGGTAGCCTCGTGTCCACGGCCAGACAGTTGCCTCTTTGGTTGTTTGTCTTGTCCACTCAGTCCCAGTTCCTCTAACTCTCTACACAACTTCCCAAACCTGCCTCTCAATTTGGATTTCAAAACAGCATCCACATCTCTGTGTTGGTTCCCACGAAAAGAACACCACTGTTTTCAAACCCAAGGACTCTGAAGGCTGACCATGGCAGGTCTGGTGACCTCATTGCAGGCACTGCATTCAGATATGGCTGCTCAAGACCCACATCGATTCACAAAATACAGGATTCTAGAACAAGCTTCTTTTTAATGGCATACAGGGATTTAACACCATGAGAGAGTTGGTTTTGAGACTCCAATTCAAAAGAAAAGTCAGTAACCCGGAATTCACAGATAGGGTACTTCAGACAAAAAAAATAAAAAAAGAGTTCTGTGACTCAGCTAGATTGAGGGGGAAATGGTGGGTAGCAAGTCAGGCAGCCAGGCAGGAGAGGCTTCTGGGAATCTATGTCTCCTACGGGGACAAGGATCAGCTCACGCTCAAGCATGAGTGTGTGTACAAGGGGCCATAACCCTTTAGATCATTATCTTCCTTACTTGTGACTGTGTTCTATTTTGTATGGCTCTTGGTGACCCTAAAATACTGAGACAGTTTCATCCCTACCCTCTATTGTGAATATAAAGCCATGTTCCTCTCCCTCTTGGATACTTAAGCTGATGTGCTACATCCAAAGAGGTTCATCCACACCTTGGCCTTGGCCTTCGTAGCCCTCTCAGATGCTGTGGGACTCGCTCCAGACAGACTGGTCAGGAGGGACCACACAGGGGGCTGCTGGTGGGGCATCTTTCCGAAGGCAAAGTCCATCTGGAACCATCCTGGCAGTCAAGTCAGGAAGGGGTATTCAACTGCAAGGGTTTAACTTAATTTACCTTCCATGTTAGGCGGCTCAGTTTTTAGAATGCCTACTGAATTCCACCAAGGTCTTATTTTATGGAATCCATTTTGGAATGTGCAAACAGGGAAAACCTGGAGCAAGCTCAGAGCACGGCACCATCTCTCACCTTATGCATTAGCCTGGCCAGCACTAGCTCGCAGGACAGAAGAGGTGTTTAGTGTGTGTTCTGTGTGAGAACTTCCCTTTCCCTTTCTTCTCCCTCCTTTAATACAAAAACCACATGAAAGAACAACATTTTAAAAGCACTATGCTCCCTACCTAGACTCTATGTGTGTGATGTCCTATTTTCTGGAGGGCAGTTCAAGGTCTCGCTGAGGTTCAAAGTCATTGTCTGTTGATTTCAAGGCAGCTCTGGAGCTTTCCTTCCTTTTTAGTATAAGCTCCACTGTGCAAAAATGTGCATTATCTTTGGTATTCGTTTTAGGTAGTCCAACTTAAAATTTGAGATAACCCATTAACATCATGAAGAAAAAAATAAAAAACCAACCCGGAGGCTACCATTTGGCTAGTGTTACATAATGTCCTTATGTAACCAGAGGAGAGAGAGAGAGAAAAAAAAAAAAATCAATTCTAGCAAACAAATTACTGGCCTCAAAAAATCAGGCTCTTGTTTTGGCACTTTGAAGCGCATATCATGAGCTTTCAACCAAGTTCAATACTGACTTTTAAGTTATACTAAAGAAAAACTACACTGCAACAAAAATATAATTTGTGTTCATGTAGTTAGCAGCTTTTCGAGATTAAGGCAGAGTCTTGCCTTTGTTATGCCATTAAAAACATTCTTGTTCCCTAAAGAGAAGCATTCTGGATAAGTCCAATACCCAACCAAGGCTTGCCTGCAAGTTCAAGTCTTATAAAAACACAAAACAAAACAGAACACCCCATAACTTATTCTACAACATGTCTATGTGCCGTCGGGTCATGGGGAGGCGTGTTGAGTATGTTCCGTCCATCTCTGAGCTGAGAGTCTTCCTCTGAAGCCACCAGGCTAGCCTCAGTCCCTGGTGGCCACTTGCCTTGACCCACCTCTCCGCCAGTACCGTCGTCTGAATCACTGTTTGGGGTCTTTGACCAACAGACTGTGTTTGAACGTAACTATTCCAGAGAAGGAATCCGTCAGTCATATCTCTGATTCTCTTCGTAAGGGCCTGGGCTCTAGAGGTACGCTTGCCTGGTTGTGAAGGTCTAGGTCAGGGGGCGTGTCCGTACTTGTGCTTTCTGGGACGCCATTGTCACTGTCATCTTCCTCTTTGCTAGTGAGTGCAACTTCATTTTCATAGCAAAATGAGTTTGCATTGGAGAGGATATATTTCTTTTCTGCTAAGTCTCTGGCGCTGCACAGGGGCGTGTTGGGGACTTCGTAAGTCTTGTGGAACCTGGAATAGTCCACTTTGTAGTAATGTTTCTCCTCAAAGAGGACAGGCTCGTAGCGGTGGCCCCAGAGGATTTCGTTGGCCAGATACGAGCTTCGGCACTGGGTGGTCATGGCTGTGGCCTCCACCATGCCTTCCAAGATCACGACAATTTCAAAGTCTGCACTGTCAATGTCCTGTTTGCTCAAGTCATAGAAGGGGCTGTCTTCATCGATTTCGTGGACTATGGTGATCGGGGACACCAGGAATATACGATCGATTCCACTGTCAAACCCAACGTTGATATCTATCTGATCCAGGGGGATGTACTCTCCTTCGGAAGTAATTCTGGATTTGAGGAGCTGGGCTCGCACATGAGCCTCCACCAGGTGGCTCTTCCGAAGATTGCCCACCCGCCACATCAGACACAGCTTGCCATCTCTCATGGCGATCACGGCGTTGTGACTGAAGACAAGAGTCTCGTTTCTCTTCTTGGGTTTGGCCATCTTGGCCATGACTGCGCCGATGATGAAGGCGTCGATGATGCAGCCCACGATGGACTGGAATACCACCATGAACACAGCGATCGGGCACTCATCCGTGACGCACCGGAAGCCATAGCCGATGGTGGTCTGGGTCTCGATGGAGAAGAGGAAGGCAGCCGTGAAGCTCTTGACCTCAGACACGCAAGCTTTGCTCTCCTTCGTGGCATCCAGATCCCCATGGAGCAGAGCTATCAACCAGAACACGCAGCCGAAAAACAGCCACGAGAGCACGAAGGCCAGGCAGAAGATAACCAGCATCCACCGCCAGCGGATGTCCACGCACGTGGTGAAGATGTCCGCGAGGTACCGTTGTCCCTTCTCCCCCACGTTGATGAATTGGACGTTGCAGTGGCCGTCCTTCTTCACGAAGCGGCTCCGGCACTGCTGCCGGGTGTGGACTTTGCTCTTCCCGTTGCCAAAGCCGTTTGCAACCGCCATGGTGGCCAGCTTCATGCCGTCCTCTTCGGAAGACACGATGCTGTAGCGGTTGGTCCGCACGCTGCCCATCGCTTCTGCCGTGGACGCCAGTGCTTCTGCTTTGGAAAACAGTCTGAGTTTTTGCAAAAACCTTTGGAGAAACAGTTTTGAATGCTCAGTGAGGACACACACCGAAAAAAAAAGTAAAAGAAGGAGAGATGGGGGATCTCCAGGAGCCTTGAGGTTCTACCAAGGTCTGTCTACGGACATGCAGAGTTACCTTAGTAACTCAGCTGACATCCAGAGGACAGGTCCTGCCAAAGACAGAGAGAGCATTCATTACAAGAGAAGTCATTATTAAGGGCTCTACGCCCTGAGGCAACATTTCCAGCAAGTCACAGAGTCAGATATAGATGAATAGACCCTACATTGAATCATTGGATTTTTAATTCCTTGTGCCCTAAAAGATGGTTTTAACTTCCTTTAAAAGCATAAAATCAAGTCTTTCCATCAAAACTTCAGGTCCTTTTCCTCCTATTTTTTTTTTTTTTTTTTTTTTTTTTTGCAAGCAGTCTAAAATATTCTATTTTCTGGGTCTACCTCGCTCCTCTCATTCTCTTCTTTGGCTTTCTCTACTTGCAAGGTATCAAGCAGCAGAAGGACTTCCTAGCACCAAGGTGGATCATGCAGCTTTAAGGACGTGGACACGTCTAGAGAACATTCCATAGGCATGCAGAATGTTAATGGAAACTGAGTTGCAGGTGCATTAGGGGAGACAATGACAAGGCTGAAATCAGAAGGATTATTTTGTTTAAATAATGCAACTCAGCAGGCAGTCCTTAAAAGCTATCTGACACGGATCCCAGTTCCTGGAGACTGTGTGGGCCGGCTCCATCGGTCCACACAATTCAAGCTGCCACCATGCAGCAATGCCCCACACCACCTCCGTGAATGCAAGGGATTCTCACTGGAAGACGCACGTTTGCTCTGGGGGCCAGAGAGCTGGCTCTGTTGCCTAGCAATCGGTCCTGAAACTCCCCGGAGATGGGACTGCTGTGTGCAATGACTGGCTCGGAAGCAAGCACCTTGGTGCCAGAGGACCAGGTCTTTAGAGGATTGAGATAAGGCAGGAACTCATTTCATGTGAGGCCAATGCTGTGTTTTCCCAAACAGAGGCCGCGTTGGAGGAACAGATCATAAATGCCAGCTTACTTTCACTTCCACGCGCCGTTGTTTGCTAGATGTTCCTATGGAGAAGGCACCCACCTCTACATAATGTGAGCAAACAGGCATTCTCCGCTCTCTCCCCTCGCCTTGTCCTGTCCTAGGGACAAGCTCCCTGTGGACTACAACTTTCCTTCCTGGCTCCAAAGGCACTGTTTTTTCCCCTCCCTTATTTGACAAAGGCCTGCGCAGAAGTTGAGGGTGTTGTCTTGATCGAATAGAAATGATTGCAGCATGGAACCAGCACATAAACACGGACCTACTCTATCTGCTGGATTAAAGGGGGACAGGGAACAACAGCTTAAAAAGATCAGGGATCCACTGAGTCTTTCTCCCTCCAAAGCCCATGAAGGGTAAGCAATGAACGAATCCAGCCGCAGCCAAACCACCTGCACACGGGCAAAGCATGTCGCTTGCTTTGCTGCCTCGCAGCCCCTTGCAGAGAGGCTTGGTGCACTGTCTTTGAAAACTGCCTTGCTACCGTCTTCTCCCCGCTCCCTCTTCATCCAAGTTATTATGCAAGAATGTGCCCCAACACATTTTTCCCGAGATTAGTCATCTGTGAAAATTGCAATGTGTGTTACATTTTGGCAGCTTTTGACACCTAAGTGATGCCCGATTTAAAAGTGTCTTTGAATCACTTTCTAAAAAGAAGTTACTGTGCCTTCCCAGTCTTCCACCTGCTTCAGTGTTTTGTCTGCTTCCCTGCGAGGTTTGTACTCGGACAAAAGGAACAAGACAAGACTCCTGCTCTGCGGGGTTCTAGATCCCGGACACGGGAAGGACTTTGTTTAACAGGGACCTCGGCTGATGGGGCTCAGGTGTTATGGCCACGCATTTCTGCACAAAACCAGATAGAGGTGATAAGACACCAAATACAATATCCTCCCCCCCCCCTCCAAAAAGAAAGAGTGAGGAAGAGGCATCATCTAAATAGTATGTGTATCTTGGAGTTCTGATTAACTTCGGAATCCTATAACTGACACCAAGAAATTCCCTTTTCCTGATTCAAAAGAATCCTTCCGTCCGAGTGTCTGACTGACTTCTGCACCTTCCCAGAAGAAAACACCACAGGAAATCTACAGTCTGAATTACAACTTGCCAAAACTCTCGACCCCAGGACATTGGTCTGAATTCCACAAAACACACACCTCCAGCTTCCTCTGAATAGCATTCCGCATCAAGGCCCTCAACGAGAGCCTGGATAGAGGGGCTGTTACTGTCCTATTTCCATTGCTAATGACAGAACCTGTGCCACTTGCAGTGCATCATTTACAAATTTGACCATTCTGCCTGGAAATGGGAAAAAAAAAATTGGGGTGGGGGGAGTGGGGGGTAAAATGGAAACTTTTGTCACTGAATAGATAGGCTCCAAAACAGATGCATGTGTACATATGTGTGCACACACAGAAGATGCATTTAGACTTGGTGCAGCTAATGCCATAGCAACAATCTAGAACCTTCCAGAGTCTGGTAGGTCCACTGTGAGGAATGGCTTTCCTACCAACCACCCCGCACACCCGGTGGCTTAGGGCCAGCAGAGAGCTTCCTGGCTCCTCCTCTCTCACCCTAAATCACTAATTCATGAGCATCTGGGAAAACTTCCATTAGGAGCAGGGCTTCTGTGCAGTGGTTTAAGGATAGATTCAGATTAATCCTGTGAGAATGAATCGATAAAGAGCAGCTGAGAACACTATGTGACTCCTGAGTTGGGAACAAGGCAGGAGAATCGATCCCTGATCGGGTGAACCACGTGTGAATCCCCCCTCCAGCCTAAATATGTAAGGGGCCGATGGCAGTTTGAAAGACACACGTCATCATTTCACCCAGGCTATCCCCGATGAGGTAGAAAATGTTTCTGGGAAATGGAGAGGCTGCATGTGGAGCTGTTCATGGTAAGACTATTTATAGGCTGAGCCAAAATTAAGCATAAGCAATGGAAAAAGAGAGTTCAGCGCTTCAGTCGTAGGTATATGTGAAGGGAGGGAGAGCTATGGATTAAAGAAAAGGAAAAGATCAAGGAGATAACATCAGGAGTGACTGAAAATCATGGTTAGCCATAGGAAGTATTTCCGACATGGACCCTAAAAACCAGAAAATGTGACTTGAACAATCAACAAGAGTAAATGTGTCCCATCCAGCGGCCATGGTGCAGTGAATGAGAATGTTCCTGAGGATGGGCACTGAGGGTCGTAAAGGAGGGTGAGCTGGGCTCAGAGAGAGGCCCGCTAATGAGTGTTTGGAGTAGCTATTCCCCAGCTGACGCCATATAGACCAGCCCGACTGTGCTCTGGGCACATGTTGCTATGTGAGCACAAGTGCTAGCAAGGTAACCTCTGTGAAGCTCAGTAAACAGAGGGAAGGAAGGGCAGGGAGAGGGGGAGTGAGGGGGACACCCACTTAACTACGTGACCACTCTGACACGGACACCCAACAATGCACGGAGCATTACTCAGCATGTGCCAATGCTGAAGAACATACGGGTTTAATACACAGAAAAACACGCTACAGAAACCCTGAACACAGGCCATCTGTTGAGGTAAAGATTTGGTCAATCTTTCATGCTACTGAAAAGTCATACAAGGACTCCACAGCTAACGGGAGATCCGACAACTGGAGAGAGTCTCAAGGAAGTAGAAATATTGTGGAATGTTTTTTTAAATTTTTTTTAATGACAAATTCACAAGAGTTTAAAACAAATCTTCCTAGGGACACCCATAGCATCAAAGAAAGTGCCAACAAACATGGGAGGAGGAAGGGAGAAGCTGAAGGCAAAGTGAAATGACCTTGACCCCGACTTTCACCCCTCCCACAGCCCTTGATGTCATACCTCTGACCCCTGACCTTGGAGATTTTTTTCCTGGATAATGGCAAATATAAATAAAACTCTACGGGGGCAGGAGTGGAAGTGAGCAGGAAAAAGCTAACAAGTGCACGGGTAATGCAGCGGACAGCAGACATACAACAGCGGTGAGAGGAAATCGAACTGCCTCCAGATTATGCATGTGAAAATAGAAGTAATGGAAGGCAATATGCATTCTTTGCATACCCCAAACACGTCTTCAAATCGTGCCTGATTTCCTATCAGGTGAAGGCAAAGTCTGCGTTGGTGAGACGCCCCAGGATTCACAGTCCTGTCCTGGTTACCCTCCTACTGATCCGCTGGCTGAGGCACAGACATCAATCACACTGCCAGTCTCCCATCTCTACTTTTCCCCAAATGTCACGATCCGTCTGTTATGATGCAATCTCTTTGCAGAAAAAGTCGTTTCCCCCTTCTGGCCTCCCCAGAAACCACGCTGTCTTCCACGGAGGTAACAGCATTATTATTATTATCATTATTAATTATTATTTTATTATTAAGAATTACAAGTTGCTCAGGGGAAAGCGACATAATAGTGTGAGAGCTTTGCCGGCTGTGGGCTCCATTCCAACTCGGGCTGCCTCTCTCTCCCTAGCAAAGCAACTTTGGGACGCTCGCTCCCTGTGGAGCTGGACTCCCTACTTGAAGCAATGGCCAATGACTAAGAAAGAACATAAAAAGGCCAAGGGTCTGGACTACCGCGGAGCACCCAGATCGGCCTCGGTCTGAGACCAGTACCCCAGTCACCCTATCTATCCCCTCGTCCCTGTTTTCCCCCTTAGCGGGACTCTCCAAGGCCAGTTCCCTCGCCCCTGCCTCCAAACTCCGTATCTCGCTACAGCTGGTGCATTGGAAGTTATGAGCACAAACAGATGCTGCAGAGAAATGTTTCGATTGCTCAACTGTTCCAAGCGCGGCTCAGTATTTTTAGATCTGGGATGTTCTGGGGCGGCACACAAACTCTATAGGCATGCTCGGGGGCTCGGAGGGAGCGTGGGTGCGC